TCTTACCCTCTTCCTTATTCAGTGTCCAACTTTCACATGCATATGAGGTGATTGAAAACAGAGTGACTTGGATCAGGGGCACATTAGGTCTCAAAGTGACCTCCTTGCTCATCAACACTTCAAAGAAAACTTGTACAACAGACTTGCCCAATGTAATAGGTTGCTTGACTTCCTGCCCCCTCCCACCCCGTCAGTTTTAGTGGATATATGGTTTCTTGACTGCTACTTCCATGAGTGTTGATTGTGGATCCAAGTAAAATTAAATCCTTAATAGCATCAATAACTTTTCAGTTTATCATGATCTTGTCTGTTGGTCCAGTTGTGAGAATTCTTATGTTCTTTTCTTTGAGTTGTTGTCCATACTGAAGGCTACAACCCTTGATCTGCAGCAACAAGTGCTTCAAGTCTTCCTCCTTTTCAGCAAGTAAGGTTGTGTCAACCGCATATTTCATGTTGTTAGTCAGCCCTCCTCCAATCCCGATGCTACTTTCTCAGATAATTTGCTCAACATACAGATTGACTAAGTATGGTGAAATGATACAACCCTAAGATCCCCTTCTCCTGATTTTACCCATGCCTCTTGGTCCATGTACAGATTCGGCATGAGCATAATGAAGTGTTCTGGATTCCCATTTTTTGTCAATGCTTTTCATAGTCTGCATAATCAACAAAACACAAGCAAACACCTTTCTGGTATTCTCTGCTTTCAGCCAGGATTCATCTGACACCAGCAATGATATCTCTCTTTACACATTCTATTCTGAATCCAACTTGAATTTCTGGCAGCTCTCTTATTGGGTTATTTTTATTAAAATTTTCGCTTGAATGTGATATAAATGATACTGTTAGATAATTTCCATATTCTGCTGTGTCACCTTTTCTTGGAATGGGCCCAAGTATGGGTCTCTTCTAAGCCAACCAGCTGTCTTCCAGCTTTCTTGACTTAAGAGAGTGAGTGCTTCCAGTGCTCCATCAGCTTGTTGAAACTCTTCCATTGGTATTTCACAAATGCCTAAAGATTTATTTTTCAATAAAGCATTCATAATAAGCTTGAACGGCATCCATCAGTACCATGGATTCTGGAGCGTATGCTACTTCTCGAAATGCTTAAATGTCAGTCATTTCTTTTTTGGTGCAGTGACGGTGTATTCATCTTGTTTAATATTTCTTACACCATTCAATATATTACCCATGGAATCCTACAATATTGCACCTCAAGGTTTGAATTTCTTCTTCAATTCTTTCAGCTCCAGTGATGCTGAGCAAGTGTTTCATTTCGGGATTTTAGACTTCTATCTCCAGTACTTTACATATTTCATTATAATGCTTTGTCTTCTTGAGCTGCTCTTTGAAATTTTCTCTTCAGTTCTTTTACTTCATCATTTCTTCCATTTGCTTAAACTACTGTTCCTTCAAGAACAGGTTACAGTGTCTCTTTTGACATCCATTTGATCTTCTTTCTCTTTCTTGC